TTGTAGACAGGGGCTTCTCTGGGTTGGTGCGCTGCGTCGAGGCTCTTTGAAGTTTTTGGTAGATATCTAATTCTGTTGTACTTATTTTCAGAACTAAGTACAACGACATTTAGGTAGGCAAAGCAGTTTGCTCGAACTAGAAAGATACCGCTACTACTACTACTACGGCATTCTCCCGCTGGTTGCGTTGTTGATCCATGTATGCTATGCTTGAGCTGCCCGCCAGTTGACTTGTTGACAAAAGGTGTATTTAGAACACTTTGTCGTTATGTCAGGCACCACGCATGCATGCATGCTAGGAGGCAGGCCGGAGCCTTGGGGCTCTCACCGAAGCCGCTCAACAAAGCTCAGGTAGCAGCAGACGGGCGCCCCTGCCGGTTCCTTTCTAACCAGAGAGAGTGTATGCATGCTATATAGAAGCACTGGATCTCGTGAGGTTCGCGCAAAGGTGACAGAGAGCAGACATATCCAAGAAGTTTCCTCTGCACCTGCAAGCAGTTTCTGAGGAGCCTGCTTAGGTTGATGCAGCTGAGGCCGCTTCGATGCTCCCCTTGCTCGGGTAGGAGCTGCAGTGCACGCACACCGCGCATTGCCCTGTGCTGAATGAAAGCGCCTTTGCTACAGATGCTTCTGGTATTTTCTCTCCCCGCTTTACGAATCGCTTCGCCTCTCTTGCTGTCCCCGCTTGGGGGCCCCACATGGCTGTGGGGGGCCCTCAACACGGTCTGCATGCCTAGCCAAGTGCAATAAAAGATAAGGGGCCCTCACTTGTTTACTGCTGCACAGCACCAGCAGCAAACTCTAGTGGGCTAATGCCCGATACTGGAGGAAATCGAGGAAACGTCATTCCCCCTCGGGCCCTTTGCTAGAAAGGGGGCCATATTGAATGCGGCAGCCAAACCTCAACCGAGTAGTTTGGCTCGTGCCCCGCCTCTTGCTGCTTGCTGCTGCTGCTGTTGCAGCTGCTTATGCTGCAGTTGCTTCTGTGGCTACTGCTGCTGCATTTCCCCCGGCTACAGCTGCAGTTCGTGCAGCTGCAGCGGTTGGTCGTGCGGCTGCTCTTCCAGGTCGTGCGGCTGCTGGTGCAGGTCGTGCGGCTGCTGCTGCAGTTCTTGCTGCTGCTGCTGTTGCTGCAGGTCGTGCGGCTGCTGCTGCTGTTCTTGCTGCTGCTGCTGCTGCAGGTCGTGCGGCTGCTGCTCCAGGTCGTGCGGCTGCTGCTCCAGGTCGTGCTGCTGCTGCTGCAAGTCTTGCGGCTGCTGCTGCTGTTCTTGCTGCTGCTGTTCCAGTTCCTGCTGCTGCTGCTGCATTTCTTGCTGCTGCTGCTGCTGCAGGTCGTGCGGCAGCTGCTGCAGGTCGTGCGGCTGCTGCTCCTGGTCGTGCTGCTGCTGCTGCACGTCCTGCGGCTGCTGCTCCAGGTCGTGCGGCTGCTGCTCCAAATCGTGCTGCTGCTGCTGCAGGTCTTGCTGCTGCTGTTCCAGTTCCTGCGGCTGCTCTTGCAGTTCCTGCTGCTGCTGCAGTTCTTGCTGCTGCTGCTGCAGTTCTTGCTGCTGCTGCTGCAGTTCTTGCTGCTGCTGCTGCAGTTCGTGCGGCTGCTCTTGCAGTTCTTGCTGGTGCTGCTGCAGTTCTTGCTGCTGGTCTTGCAGTTCCTGCTGCTGCAGATCCTGCAGCAGATGTTGGGTTTGCTCCTCCGGAACTTTAGCGAGCATTGCTTCAACGAAAGGAGCGAATCTGTCTGCGAATATGCCGAGCATGCGGTGGAGTGTCTTGCTACGGACGTGGAGTTCAATTAAGCTGTATTTGATGGGTCCCGGTGTGAATGGGTTTTGCACTGCGTCCTTCAATTCTTCGAGTGCCTCCAGCTCTTCAATAGCAAAATCGATGCATTCGCGTGCTTTGCTTAGTTCGTCCTCCAGCTTCTGCTGCTCTTCCTGCTTCAACTGATACTTCACCCTCTCGGCTGCTGATTCGTAGAGGCGGATATTGTCTATTTCATCCTGCAACTCTAGCAAGAGCGCTTCTTCAGGATTTGTTAGAGATGCGAGCAGCTCTGTGCCCTTGGCTGAGCAATCGCGCGCTCGTTCTACTGCTGTTTGAACCCTTTCTGCTGCTGCTGCACAGGCCTGCAGCATTGCAGCCATCTCCGCTAGTGTTTCTACCCGGTGGTTTTTGAGCTTGGCCAAATCATCTCGTGCCTGTTGCAACTCCGTTGAGTAGTGCACAGCAACAGCAGAGCAGTGCAGCAGCTGCAACTCTACGTTTTTCTCTCTGCTACCATCTTCTTTGGAAACAGCCAAAGATGCCTCATATGCACTGGTTACAAACGTTTCAGTACGTATTACCTCCATATGCTTGTTTCCTGCAACTTGCGAGACGCTGCCTTCTATTGCGCGTGTTAGTTGAGACAGTTGCGCGTCGCTGTCGAGCTGCAGCAGCCTCGCCACATCCTCAGGCTGAGGCGGCCGATCCTGCAGCTGTTGCTTCAGCATCTGCGGGTCAATACCAACGAGAAAGTGTACATTCGACATGATCGCGCTGGCGCGCCTCTGCAGCATTAACACGTCGCGCAGCGTACTCGAGCCGCCCAGAAAGCGTTCAAGGCGTTCTGTTGCCTCCATCATACTGTGGAGGCTGTCTATGTCGTAATGCTTAGCTATTAGATGCGCTTTGGTTAGAACGGCTGCTGCTGTGGGGGCCTCTTTTATTGGACCCTTTAAGCCGCCTGTTGGCGGATGCGCCTCCTCTTCGACAGACCCTTGCTTACCTACAGATGCACCGCGGAAAAACATGGCTGCTCCAAGCCCCAAGACAGCTAGCAACACCACCAGGCGTGTCACATGCCGCGTGCGCAGGGATGCCTCTACGGGCGCCCCATGCGCTTGCACCTGTGTGTTGTTGTTGCTACTATTCAGCACCGGCTCCTCCAAGAGGTGAGAGGGAGACCACATACTTCTGTACTGTGAAGCCTGTTCAGTTGACTTGCCTCCCTGATGCTCTTCTCCAACCTCTGAATCCAAAATGGTGCCCTGAGTCCCTTCCGCCAAATCGCTGTCTGCCCAACTTGTCGCAGAGAGCCCGTGCAAGCTAATATCCGTTGCCGTTGCTGGATCCCCTATTCCTGTTGCTGGTGCTGCTGCTGGTGCTACTGCTGGTGTAGCAATAGGTGCACCGAAGGCAAGCAGAAGCAACAGCAGCAGCAGGTGCTGCTGTTTGTGGAGAGGTCGCCCGAGCGGATTCATCGTGCAACGTACTGTGCCATACAGTGCAGCAAGGGGCCGAAGAAGGGAAATGGGGCGCCGAAAAGTATGGCGTGAAGGTGATTGAGAAGAGCGGACGCCCTCAGAAAAATATCTTCTAAGGGAGAAGACAATGCCGAGCGCTGCAACTCAACTCATGGCCTTGGAGTTGTTGCGAGCAGAACATCAACCGATAGCCGCGCGGGCAGCTCTGATAAACGCCATACTGCGAGAGGTTTGCGTTGCTGTAACAAGAAAAAAACAATTTCAAATATAGAGACTCTTCAACAGAAAAAAATGTAGCACGAGAAGAGGTCTCGTTTGTTCAAATGCTCGCCGTCCTCGCCCTGCGCGGGCCCCGCCGCCACAAGCCCGCAGTGGAGTTATTGCAGAGTAAATTCCGCTGCTTTCTCGCCCCAAGTTAATAATCAAAACAATTATAATCCTTTAATTGACTTCGATTTCATAACAAACTCAATGCATACACCCCGGGAAACTACCTGCGTCGGTGACGCTGGTCCCCCATTTGGCGTCATGTACGGAGGAGGTGGTGCAGAGGCTGTCATAGGGGGTTCATAGCAGCCTTTTGCAGGTTTCCTGTCAATGCATTGCTCTTATTTGTTAATGGTCAACTTAATAACAATTTAAACTGTTCATTTTCTACCCTCTCAAGGGCCAGGACGCAGCGGACGCCAGGCTGTGCGGACGCGAGAGGATCGGCTCGTCTGGCCTGCGTGTGCTAGGCGTGCAAATGTGGCAGTTTACCTTTCTACCATAGCATGACATGCAAATAATAAAGAGTTATGAGTAATATAAGGGCTGTTTATCAAAGAAATGCGGACCAAATATTCGCTATGTGGCCGCCTGGTTGGACAGGTGCGCAAACTATCGATTTCCCCTCGCCGCTGTTGATGATTTTGCTGATATTTTCCTCTCCATTAGGTCCATACTTCTAGTTGTCTCTCGGCAGTTTTTCTAAATGTCCTATATGTATGCGCCATTTAACCCCCAGAAACAACTCCCTGCGGCACGCCCGGGTGGCCCCACATGTTCATTGTGCTCAATGCTGTTTGTCTCTTTTGCCGTTTTGCCCAGTCTTTTCCTTCTCTTTTATTGTTTTTTGTCAGTACTAGCGGGCCCCCTTTCTTCCTGGTAGTTAAACGGTTTTCGCGGGCAACGGCTGACGGCTGTTGCTAAAGCCTGCAGTACGGACGAGAGGTCTCGCCTATGCGCTTTGTTCACCCCTCTAACGAATTCAACTTGGTTGCTTTAGCAAATAACGCAGCATTCCGTCTTACTTATCTTTTGTCTCGTTCATCTCAATGTACAGTTGCATATGTTCCGCCTTCTGGAAGACGCCACTTGATTGACTCATTGATTATCTGGCATTTTTACGCCTTGCTGTCGCCTAACGCAGTGTGAGCTGCAAGAGGCACAGGAAAAGCGTGTGCCCCTCAGTTTTCTTTAAATTATAGCACCTCTGTAAGTACCTCACTGGCACAACGCAATCCACCGTAACACCAAGCCGCTGCGCCTGTTGTGAGCCGCTGCGCCGCTCTCTACAGGTTCGTGAGTGTACAACGCAGCAGGCTACCCGTCAGTACTCCTGGCCGATGGCCCTCTTGCAAATGCATGAAGCAGAGTGCAAGAGTTTTGTATGGGGAGCGAGCCGCTCAGGGCAATAGCCGCTAGGTAGCAAAGCATTTTGTATTTTTAGGAGGAGCATCTGCAGTCTGTCTCGACGTAGTGAAACATCTGCATTATTTTCGCCAAAAGGCATTCAAATACTTCGGATCGCCGAGGAATTAGCTTCAAAGGATCTCCTTGCTGGGGGCAGAAATAGACAGATGTGATGTGGTTTATGGTGTAACAACGGAGCACATCAGCAAGCGCTGTGAGCCCCAGCCCAACTTCTCTTCAGTCAAGGGTGGGGATCTCTTCAGCTTCTTCCACCGCTTCCGCAGCAGTATCAGACTTTGCCTGCGCACACCCGTCGAAAGAACAGCAGTTGGGAGAGTGGCAATAGATCCATGGGGACCCCCACAGGAGGCAGCAGCAGTTGTGGGAACAACTCCTTGTGGGGCCCCAAGGAAACGCCTCACACACCAGACCCCGGTGCTCATATGATGTCTGCTGCGTTGTTGCAGAACAACTACCCTATTTTAAAGGCATCAGAAACGAACCTTAGTACAGCACAGCTTTCTTAAGCAACCCACCTGGTTTGACGCTTGTAGCAATATCGCTGCCCGTACGTCCAGCTGCTTCAGTTCAGCCTGCGGGAGCAGTAGAGGAGCACTTGGCATTTGAAGGAAAGTAGACAGCAGCACCTCAGCGCACATGAAGGCTCCTGTAACCGCATTCGTGCAATCTCCATTGTTGTGCTGACCGTAACAAAGCCACGAGCGCATACGGCAAACTTGAGCGATTCTGCGTGCCATTCTGCCTGCCTGGAGAGCTGTCATTATAGAGGTGAGGGAAACGGCGGGCTGAGAAGAAACGCGCAGATGGGTGGCCGCGGCCAGGCTCTCCGTTGCCTCCTTGACACGCTCTTCGCTGGCCTCGAGCACTTTGCTTAGAGACTGAACTTCAGCTTGTAGTTGCTGCTGCCGCTCTTCCTCCACTGCTCGCTGCCGCAGGACATCTTCTAACGCAGGGAACTGAGCACAGATCGCAAATAGCCTTCGCGACCAACGTGCAGTTTTTATTCTGTCCACTACAGGGCTGCTTCCTGTCTTGGCTGCAATGTGCCCCTTATTGCTGTCCATCCACTGCCTGTGCAGCCTCTGAAAGGCTTCCATGTCTGAGCGTCTGGGACTTTGGGTCTGGGATGGGGTGCACGTGCAGCTGACGAGGTCAGGAAAGGCGTCGCGAACTTCGTCTCCTTTGCTCTTTAGCTTTGCAATGGCGCGCCTGCCCTCCTCTGCTAGGCCGAGCAGAACCGCCCTTAGCTTTCTGATGTGGCACTGCAGGTCTGTTTGCTTGGACTTGAAGGCGCGCTGTTGTTGTCTCCAGCGAACACCAGGACAGATACTCTGACCTCCGCTGTCCCGCATAGCGGCGATACCCCAAAGTCGCTCCTCCGCTTGCAACAACTGCCCGTCTTCGATCTGCATGGATCCAACCAGGCGCGCAGCCCCTAAGACCCCTGCTTGTGACAGATACTCAGCGGCATTCGCAATGGCATTCTCTAAAGCGCTGAAGCGGTTGCGGATGCAGGGGCACGCGCTGACCTCAGAGGGTACTGCTGTCGCAGTTTCGCTGCCGGCTGCGATTCCACTTAGATCCATTGTCTCTCTACCTTCCTGAGGGGACAAGAGTTTGAATTAGAGAGTCGAGTCCTCAGAAAAACCCAAGTGCTTCCTTTTGGTTGCCCAGTGTAGAAACCACTCATGGTTTGCGTTGCCTCATGTGCTGTTATAGCTGCTCCTCGGCCATACAGATCCCCTTCTGTAGTTACGCCCTTGCTTCTCACAAGTGGATAAGCTGCGTCGGTTGTTGCCGAAGCGGTGGATCCAAAAGGGTAGGACGGCGCGGTGAAGGATAGGCGGTATTTCTTTGCCAACTGCGCTGCCGATATTTCACATGCATGGAGCACCCCGACACATGCACGCGCTTCTGAAGTCCAAGTGTTGCAATTATGTAAAATCTACTTCAACTTCCGTTGGTTATTGTGAAATGCCTTTTCAGCCTACAACACTTGCTGCAATCTGTGGGGAGGATGCACCGACAAGTAATCTTCAGACGGTGCGGATCTTAAACTGTTGAGGGCTCCTGAACTAAGCAGTTATCTCCCAAGCAGGGGTAGGACTGACTTTGTGCAGGAGCGCGTAGATCACCAGGCTATGTTGCCGCCCTGGAGCCTGCGACCCACCGAGGGCAGCAGAACACCAGAAAGCCAAGCGTTACTCATCTGAGCCCAGGAAATATTTCTATTGCTAGCCTGAATAACCTGCCGGCGGGATGCAGTCGCTAGAATGACACCCTTTAGAATGGTAGCTGGATACTTCTACATTAATAGTGTACACCATGCTGCATGGAGGAGCTTAGGCTCTTTCGACTTAGTTGCAGGCTTTTCTAGCTGAAGGTTTTGTGCGTTAGCAAGGCCAGTCTAACCCTAAGGATCTTCAATGCGCAGAGTGAGTCCGGAACTTGGATCTTGGCGAGGGAGGTTTCTGAGCGAGCGCAGGGCTTACAAGCCCATACATTCAGCTTGGAGCATGGCAGCCAGCTCACTCATGCACTGCAGCACAGCAGTGTGTGCCACTTTGTTGTGGGGTGCGTGTGTGGGCAAGGAATTTTCGCAAGCTAACGGATGGGAAGGGATCGTGCTGTAGTTCACGTATCGCTTCGCTTGCATCTTCGATATCGCCGTAGTCAAGGGCAGGCATCTGACACCCTAAAAGGCTCAGCAAGCGGAAGCATATGCCCATGAATAGGCGCACGTCGCTATCCTGCTGCCTTCCATCTTCTGTCCAACTGCTGAACGCCCACGGGCCGAAGTCGGGGAAATCCCTGAATTCGCTCAAGTGGGCAGCAAAGCACTGTGCCACAATCTTCGGATTCGCAACCTTTCCAAATGTCATGGGAGTGGAGTTGCGCTTCTTTGAAGGAACTAAACAGAGGCGACATAGGCGACGCTCGATAAAAGCCATATGTTGAATCTTGCATCATGGACTGGTTATCTTGGCTACAAGTCTTCTGTAACTGCTAAGACTTTGTTGTCACTGCCTTATCGAGCAACCGAACACTCAGTTGCTCCATCCTAAAGAGACGTAAGCTAACTCCTTGATTCACGGAGATGAGCATGTAGCATGTGCTCACCTTCTAATATTCGTGTTCCGATTTGTATCCAAGGCAGTGGCAAGCATCGTAGCTTCCCACATAAGCCATGCGCTGTCGCACTCCTCCCCCGTATTTTTACTTTCGTGTAGCTGTGCATGGAGCTCGCCCTCTCTAGCAAAGCTGCGGGCACTTCCACTCATTTTCCCAGGTCCGAGGTGAAGTTGTTTATGCCCTAAATGCACATATCAAAAACGCCCAAGGGGGAAAATGATGTTTCGTGTTGCATACTGAGCGAAAAATATCATCTGGTCTCTGGATGCGCATTTAACTGAAAAGCACGCTCTCGTGTGCATATATTCCATACGATCCTATTCGCCTGTTTTTGTTGGGAGGGCAGAGCTTGAAAGGCGTGTTTGCCCTGGCAACTGCTCTCCAGCAGGCAAATCTTGCCCGCAAACTGGCAACGAAAAATGCCGAATGGTTATCATTCATGCAGCAATTCAATTTAAACGGTTTGGGGCAACGTTGAAAGCATGCTACCCCACCAAAGCATTCAATTCTAATTGCGCCCTAGCTAGTGTTACCAGCGCCTGTATGGACGAGAAAATAATACTATTTGAATAGTTCGACGGTGTCATTACCTATCAATAACTTAGTGTAGTTTCCTACTTACTATACGCAAATGCATCATATCATACTTTGAATTACAGAATGTGATAAGAATAGCGTGATAGTTTGAGGAACAACTTCTCAGCTATTCGCTTTTCTCCCACTCCATTAAAGTTCGTTTTCTCTGTTCCCTCGAGCCCCGTCAGCATATCGTACAATCTATCCTCCAGGTTCTTCAGGAATTTCTTCTCGTTTTTGCAGAACGCGACGAGAGCGAACGGGAAGATGGAGTAACCCCCGCAGCATATACGTGCGTTTCTGGCAGCACTACAGTTTCCGCGGTGTGTATTTTTTGTAGAGGCCATCAGAGTTAAGACGGGCGGGTTCTTAATCATGTCCAGCCGCAAGCCTGCGGAAGTACATGAGTGGGTCAGCAGGGTCTCCAGTTAACGGATCAGCTTCAGCTCGATAGGATTTACATATAATAAACTTGGGGTTGGAGGTTGGTGAGGGGGGTTGGGGGAAGGGGAAGGGGAGAAGAGGGGGGATGGGGAATATTTCTTTTGACCAGATCCACTTATTAGCTCATGAGATCTTTCAGCGTTAGACAGGGCAACAAGAGGCTGCTTCGGTGGGGTTGCTGCTGAATCCACTGCACTGCAGCTGGGAATGAAACAATCTGGTTAAAAATTAACCAAAAACCCAACAAAATAGGCGAAAAACTATATTTGCGGCTCCACTAGCGGGGTGCATGCATACTCTCTGGGTTTGATGAGAGCCCCAGGGTCACTCGCAGTTGAGTTCTGCTTCCAGTCGCAGGCCTGGTACGCGTTCAGCGTCAAACGTGTTTCAGTGAGCTTTAAGAGTTGCTATGCTAGCTTGTATACAAAGCTTACTTCTTTATGAGCCAAAAGGCTGCTATCCGATGCACGCGTAGCACATCAGGTTAGCTAGCCGTACCCAAGGCGAAGACAGTAAAGGAATCGCTGCAGTCAGCCTCAGCCCTCCCCCAGGCCTCCACAAGTTAGAGTTAGTGATGCACACTACCACAAATCGTTTACTGTGCATCGATTGTTGTTCATTTGCGTGGCAGGCTACTGCAACTGCGACCTAGCCATTTTGCCACGACGGCATACCTGCGGAGAAGCCGCAGGTGTGTTCCCTCCGGCACATTTTGCATTTCGGTATTGTTCCTCACTATCCAAGTGCACTATCTAGATCGTCTTCCACTAATGCCTAGTCTGAATCCAAAGTACTGTCTGCATTCAGTCCGGCACACTGCAATCCACTGGCTGTACCAATCTCGTGCAGTCCTGCCATCTTGTCCACTCATCACACACCAGCTCTCAAGTGGAAAGTCTAAAGATAAATAGCGTTGCAACTGCGGGATCTGGTGCGAGGCGTTGATTTGTTGCAATCCCACAACTCACCTCAGGCATGGCCTTGTAGTGTTCAGAAAATGAGGGAGGCGGCGTTTTCGCAAATGATGCGGGGGCGAGTTGATGTGAAGAAGCTTAAATTTTCGTCAACCGAGCTCAGGTCTCTAGCCCTACAGACCCACTGTGAGCAGCTTGCATGTAACAGTGGTCTCAAATGAGAGACATACGAGACGCCGGAGAGCCGATTCACTTATCCCAATGTTTTACGTATAGTAGGCTTAGGAACACGCGCAGAAGAGTGTTCTGTCAGGGCTGTTTCTTGCGCTGTTCCATATGTTCACTGTTCAGTTTCCGTTGAGGAGGTTCAGGCTCTCTACAGCGGTAACAACTCTAGCGCAGTACACAGCACAACCAGCACAACCACGTGGATGCCCAGCACATCTCAATGCGCCAAAACCAATAGTCTGTACTCTTTACAAGCGGCTCAGTTCGATGGTGTAGTCTTTTATGTAGGTTTCCGGTTGCAAGCTGGTGAGCGAAAGCCGCTCGAAGGGGGGCTGAGCGCAGTCAGCCTCCTAGGACTATTCAACCTCTCCAACGCTTGCAGTTTTGTCTTCGCCGATAGATTCGTTCGCCTCTTTTGGCAACACAGGACACAAGACAGGGGCATCGAAATAGGATTTGAGGAGTTCGTTCGCCTGCTGAGTATCTGGACTCGCGGTGAGAAACACGTTTCCGTTGCTGTCACGGGCATTATGTCAAACTTGCAGGCTTCAGGATGCAGCGTGGCAGTAAATATTGCAAAAGGGGCATCCAAAGAGGGACTATGAGCCCTTTCTCTGATCCGCATCAGACTGGGAAAGTGACTCTTCTGACGGCCTGACTTCATCATGGTGTGTCACTCTTTGCAGGAACGCCTCATCAGCGGCTAACGCGTAAGGGCATCGCTCCCTTCGAAAGCCAAAAAAGCCCGAAGGCCAAAATTCTTTTTGGGTGGAGTCTTGCACTGCTTTTCAGTATAGTCGAGTTCACGTCACGGTTCTCTGGCTGAAAGTTTGTTGGATCTAACGTCCTACAGCTTGTTCACCGAGCTGCCTCCTTCGGTTTTTTGCTGCAGTTCTGTTTCACATATATGACAGAGGAAATAAGGGGTCAGTTGTCTCAGAAACACTCCCTATTTTAGCGAAGCATGCAACCACCCCTTGAAAGACAGCGCAATACCGAAATACGGCGTCCCGATGCAGCTCATGTGGGTGTTTCTCCTGCAGCTACATTGTAAAAGAAGACATTGTCGATATTATGCGCTCACTTTTTATGTGTTTCCTAAAGTCCGGTGTTGCATCGTATGATTGGAATTCCGAAGAATTCAAAGCAAAGTAAGGCAATGTCATTTCTGCATATCCCTATTATAAAGTGTCCTGCCGGCGCCAACTAAGTAGCCCTGATACGGATGCAATGGCCGAACGGCGTCACCATCTGGCTACTGCAGGGTCATTCTTGAGAGACACTCCGAAGATGCAGTGAAAGAGTAAGACAGTCCACATTTCCTTCAGTTGTAGCAGGCAGGCTCACACAGAGCGGGGGAGACACTGCCATGTGTTTGGCATAGTACGGTCGTGTCAGCCACAGTCCTCCTTGTGCATGCCTGTCTTGCGAGGCCTTTCAGAATGGCCCAAGAAATTCTTTCGGAATGGGCGGATGCAGCAATAAGGTAGTTCTTCGCAGGAGGCTCCGGCACCACGAGCCATAAACAGCCTTAACTGATTGCCAAGGCTTGTCAGCAATATCCTTGTTGAGCACAGCCATGCTTGAGGTTCGACACTCAGTGGACATGCATCCACTGAAATGTTTCAAACGGCGAACCATCAATAGTGTGTGACGGTGCGTTTTGCAGACGCTTTCACACGGCGGATTCTAACAAGTTGCTCTGGTTCAGCGGTGAGCAAGAGCTTCAAAACTAGTGGCAAATGCGATAGGCATTGTAGGCATTGTCTATTGTGGCGAATATCCTTCTTCGCAATAAATCCTAACAGCTAGGCAACGACTGTACGAGGATCGGGGCGAAGTCTCCGGCATACCCTCTGGGCTTTGGTGTCGACTGGCAACACGAGTGTCTGCCGTGGGAACCTGCAGAATTCCTACAGTGGATCATCCACGTCCCAGGAGTTGCAGAAAGTCTCTGCGTCCCTACTGATGTATGGACTTGGCTATTTCAAGAATAAACCAAGCGTTGTCAAGCCTTCTTCTGCGCGGAGGGAGAGAATTCCCCCGAAGGAGCAGCTGGCTTCGCTTTTCCTACTCGGTCTTATTCAACAAACTTTCATGATTACCCCAAATTTGTTTTGTTCACGCTCTTGTTTTAAAGCAGGCACAATGGAGGTTCCTCTTGGGGCCTTGTTTCGGAGGTGTTGCGTTAGTTGTCCCACCACAGCGTTCCATCTCTTCATGGCTACGCAAGTTTCAAATATTTTGCTTCACTGTTCTCGCAAAGCCTTTAGTGGCTTGTACCCAGGAAACTGCTAGAGCAGATAAGTAAAATGTTCGCTGCATGTTGAGCACTAGGCGGCTTGACATTATGGCTCAGGAAAGTCTCTGAAAGGTTCCAAGCCTTGTTAACCGATTCACATCTCACCCTGGTCCCATCCAAGAATTGGTAACGCACCTCGGCTGTTGGTCCTCAACAGACCAAAATCCACTGTGGTAAATGGTGACAGCCTAGAACGATAATATAAGTAGTAGTGCTCATCATGATGCCACCTCTCAGTCACGGACAAATTGAGCTTCGCAGCACAGACTGCCTGCCTGCAGTGTCGAAAACGAAGCAAGGCAGCACCAGAGGGAGCCCTACAGTCAATATCAGCCTGCTCCCGTGCAGCGAGATCCACTCAGGCCTAATGGAAAAGAACGGGGGCGCAACTTCGGACGTGAGCGGAGAAAAATAATCTAGACCGCTACGTAGCGGTAGCCATGATGAACTGGGGCTACGACGAATTCCACAAGCTGCAACGATTAGCAGAAATGCGTTCACAATAAGTGCACAAGGTTGAGTAGGCATGGGAAACCGCCTGATAGTGCATCCTCTGCAATTTCTAAAAGGTTTAAACACCACCCGGTCCAGCACCCCGCGCTCGTCAATCCGGTGCAGAAAATGTCAATCTGTCGAAATCTACTCTAACCCTATGCGACAAAGGACAGTCGTGAAGTTATTCGCTCGTTCACACTGAAGAGTTGCTACTTGCAATTCGCATTTTTCCCCTTCTGTTTCATGTTAAAGGGGGGTCACCTGTGCTCGACGTGCTTATGGGCTAGCATAGGAGAGCTGTGCATTTGGCAGCCTGCTTGAGACTTTTTTACCATCTGATTGATTTTCAGTCGGCAGTTCCCAAGGTTCAACAGCTGAAAGAAACGATATTCAGTCTGCTTTGCCTCTTCCCTTCTTTTGGTGCACGATAACCCTCCGCAGATCTACTGTCGGAGCCTGGAATCCACGCTCGCGACCGTTTCATGTCGTTCCGTCTTATCAGTTGAATGAAAGACTTTCGGGGACTTAAAATAGCTGCATGTTTAACCTGAAAGTAGCTTGCTTGGTTTCGTGCCCGACTCGCAGCGCCCTCCTACAGACCGGCAGTGGGTAACTTTGTGCCCATGCCATGTTGAATTTGCCTCATTTCCTGCACGTGCCTTCCCTATTACGAGAGTTATTGCTAAGCTTTGGCCTTACTTTTGATCCCTTTAATCTTTTGGGTGTACCGATTGTCAAGTCATTTACTAAATTGGAGCGGCAAACCGGTCAAAACGCAGGGAGGCGTTGCATTTACAGCGGCCCGCTGCAGAACCCAAATTCTCACGAGTCTCCAATTTCTGTCATTAACCTCTAGCCAGTATGAATGAATACTACTACACTTACTCTAAACTCCGTCAGGAGTACGGGCGGTACTGCTCCTTCAGTGCCACGGAACCCCGCACACTCGGTGTGATTGAGCCTAATCCTGACCAGATGCAGCAGTTAATTCCTCAGAATCCCCGAAATTTCTGTGGTGACACAATGATAGAGCTATCTGAACACACAGTCAATACGGGAAGTGTCAGCGTGTGCGGAAGGGGGATGAGGCATCTAGAGGGGGGTTGGCCAAAGGAGGTTGACTCAACAGACCCGCAAGAGGTTGCGAAGTGGAAAAAAAGGGCAGAAAGGGACCCAGCTTTCTTGCAAAGCGTCAAGCAGCTAACCGCTGACTGCACTCGCGTACTTCAGCAGAACCTTGTAGTTGATCTATTCCAGGATTACTTCAAGGGGATGGAGATTTCCAGAGGGAATGAGCAACGCTTGTATGCGAAGTCTATAGCGCTCCTCAAGGACCACTCTGGGTGCTGTAAAAGGTCCGTAACGTGCATTGCCTGGCATCCTGAAGGCCCTCAGAAGTTAGCAGTGGGCTACGGCATCATGAAGTTTCAAGGCCAGCCAGAGTCCCTTCCTACCTGTGCATTGCTGTGGGATCCACGCCACCCCAACGAGCCGCTAACAGAACTAGGATCGCCAAGTCCGGCGGTTTCTTTGGCATTCAACGCAAAGATTTCCGATATGCTTGTTGGAGGCTGCTACAGCGGGGTTGTCTGCTTATGGGATTTGCGCAAGGGCACGAAGCCAGTTGAAGTATCGGGCTCGGGCAACAGCCACTATGATCCCGTATACGAGGTCGTATGGACACAAAGCAAGACAAACAGCGAGTTTGTATCAGCTTCCACTGACGGGAGAGTCTTGTGGTGGGACTGCAGGAGCCTAAAAGAACCCGTTGAGGAATGCCGGTTGACTCCACCTCCTCAGCAAAATTCAAGCGCGGCTGCTGGAGTTTCCCAGGGAGCCAGTGGGGTGGACGAGACCGAAACATCCGAACTTGTGGGGGCCAGGTCTCTAGCGTGGTCTTTAGAGGCAGGCCCAACGAAGTTTCTGCTCGGTACTGAACAGGGTACCCTGTTGAGCTTGAAAACAAGGCCCAAAAGGCCCCCAGAGATAAGCCAGTGGTTTGGCTGCGACAGTGGGCAGCATCACGGACCAGTGAGCGCCGTCAGAAGGAACCCCTTCCACAGCAAATACTTCTTGTCGGTAGGTGACTGGACTGCCAAGCTATGGATGGAAGAAGTGCGCACCCCGCTTGTAGTAACTCCCCATCACCCGGCGACTCTCACTGACGGCCAGTGGAGTCCCACACGTCCCGGGTTGTTTATGGTTACACGGAGCGACGGCTTTCTGAGCTTTTGGGACTACTATTACAAGCAGCACGAGGTTGCGTTCCAGCACAAGGTCGGAACTTGTCCGTTGACCCGTCTTTCCGTTCAAGCCCAAGGCGAACTTGTCGCGGTGGGAGACGCTGAAGGGCGAGTGACAGTGCTTGGCCTGTGTGAAGCGTTACATGCATGCGCCGCCAACGAAAAGTTAGTCGTTGGGTCAATGTTTGAGCGCGAAGCAAGGCGCGAGAAAAATATTGAAATAACGAAACGGCAAGCAGAAGGAAAGAGACAGGATGAGAAGCCGCAAGTTCGTCCACAAAGCGCGGCAATTCAGGAAGCAGTTGAATCCGCCCGAGCAGCGTTTTTCAAGGAACTTCAGGAAGAACAATCTCCACCAACAGCCTAGGAAAGGGAACTATTGTTCTACTTGCTACTGGTGAAGGACGGGTAGCTCAGTATCTGCACAACGTGCCCCTAGGTGGGCATCTCTTTGGAGCATGAGCGAACCGCCCAATCCTCAACAGGCAGAATGTAAACATTCCCGACAACTAGATTATTTTTCATGTTTAAAGGATATACATAGCCGAACAAGCTGCTTCTTGTTGCAAGGTGTAGTACTTCCGTGGGAAGTATTGAACTTAAGCGTAGCAGCAACCTGGCCTGGTGGAAGACTCATATATCTGAATACATAGCTGGAAATACTAATATTTAAATGGTACAGATGTGCTCCTGCCTGAAGCATTCATACAAGGCTAAGCATGTAGAAGCGATTGTTGGAGCCGCCTTTGAGAGGCTTGGTCATCATAAGCATTTACAAGCGGCAGGCTAATGAGAGGACACTAACGCAGCAATGCAATAGTCGCAAGCAGAAGCAGCCGAAAAACGCTCCTAGTAAAGGTACTATCGAGCGGAAGAATATACTTTTTGTCGTTTACACATATTGTTACATATAATGCTGCGCCAGACTGGTGGGTGCTGTGCAATTCTCTATGAAATGGACACCATTTGAGAAAGCCGTGTACCGTCCGGCATGTTTTTTGGCAGTTCGATACCTTTTTTTTCACACTAATCCCGTTGGGAATTAATCTTATAGCTAGGTTTCCATTCAATGCAGGCAACCCTCCCAACCTGAAGGTGCTTCCTGGGCTAACGCTCTTTATAATTCCTTTTCCACTATATGAAATTTGAGATTACTGACTGGCAGACAGACTGCACGACCAATACTTGGGCGCACGTCCAAAGGACCCACTAAAAGAAAACAGCTCATACCGCTGTTGAAAGGCTGCGGGACCTGTAGTGTTTTGTTTGCTTCGTGTATCCCATACTGCCAGCAACAAACATACAAAACAAATCATATCTATCGCATATCTCTGACTGACGATGCTTATTTGTACCATTCGAGCTGGTGCTTCGCACTACAAGCAAAGTACAGCCGCTATTCCTCAGCTTGCTGCGTGTGCGGAGCCTCGTTGGAATCTCCTTGGCAGATTTTCTGTAGTTCACGCATTGAGCGATCCACGGGATTAGCGGCAGTGCGGAACTCTTCACTTATTTCCATCAGGATAGCATTAAGACGCTCTGCCTGCCATGCTTCCATGGAGAGCTTATCAGCATCATCCGGCTTCTCCTGCGACACAGTAGGAAGCTAAGGAGGTCATGGCATTGCTCTGTTCTAACCTATCCAAATTTTAAAATGTAGCATAGGAGGAACGAGCATAAAGAGAGAATAATGAATGCAGTCCACCGCATTTGGAGATTGCTCAAGTGCAGAGGGCTTCAAAGCGTCAGCGTATCCCCATACCTGCATCTAGGTGTGCCAAATGCTAAGGCCAAGTTTGTAAGATGCCATGCTTTGAATGAAGTGCACTTACTCCATGCACTTGTTTTCAATTAAGTTCATGCAGAGTCTACCTTAAGTTAATCTTTGTAGGGAATATCCAACCCCTACAATCTAATCTGTTCCGGAGTGCTTTGGTTAACCCACCGGAACTTTCGCCACCCTTTGAGGCAGCTTGAGGATTTTTACTGTGCCTCCTGTCTCGGCTACTGCAAGAACGAAGCTCTTCGAATTGAAGCAGATTCTGGCGCTAGCGGCATCACTGCATACCTGTACAGCAACGATCCCACCGACATCTGCAGATACAGCAGCTGTTAACTTTTGCTGAACGGGTCTTTAGTCCAGCCTCTGGTGAGAAGGCATTCTTTTAATAAGCTAGTGGAGGTCCAATCAGTGTGGGGTGGAATTATAGATTTAAAGTCCCGCTCAGAAGCCAGTGGTCGGGCGGCTCATAACACACTTTTTGAGAGAGGACAGGGAGTCTCCTGTGCTCGCTTAAATCGTGCAAATGCAGCTGCTCGGCACACCGCGGAAACAGCAGGCCGCACACAACACAACATAGCTTTCGCTGTCTGAACTCGACCGAGGCGCATGCCAGAATGATGCTGCGTCTTGGGATGCAGTCCTAATTATCCTACCTAGGCTACGTTCTGAAGCCATACTGTAGGACATGCAAACGTGCAAACTATGCCAGGAGAGCCCGCACGCGATATTGCAAACTACTCCTATGCCAGTCAGAGCGTGTCTAGTTTCTTACCATGCCATTTGTCGTCAACGCGGCGAACTGTGTTGAGCTGTAGGGAGCCCAGGCCACATCGCTTATTGGCTGCAATGCATGATTAACAAGCATATTATAGTCTGTACACCATAGCTGACAATCACTTGTATGGACTGTGACTGTCATCTTTTCATTTTTATTTTGATGAAGCAGGCTGTGGAGGGTTGCTGAGGCAATAGAACGGCCAGCAGCGCCGGACTCCAGAGAGCTCTTGGATGACATACGGTGCCATAATCAAGTGTTACAATGCTTCGCTGAAGTCGATCGTCCCACAGCATGACCCGCCAGTCCGCTGAAGCGGATAGGAAGATGTGCTCGTTGAACGGGCTCCAATGTAGTGTGTTCACAGGCATATCGTGTCCTAAGTGTAGCAAAACAGGGCACTGTGCTGGTGGCGTTCGTTTGCTTCCCCAGTGGGTGAGCATTCAGTGTTTTTAACTGGCTCTTGCAGCCTGAACCTATAGGCTGTTGCACCTTCACTTTGTGTTGTGCAACTGCAACATATGGACATGGCACAGTCCTGCCTTTGTATGCGCCCAGAAACTGTCCGCTATAGTCCTTCGAGCACTTATATGTGACCCCTTCCTCCGTTCCCACTACAAACACTTGTGGCCGAGCTGGGCAAAAATCGAAACAGAGGCCAGTGGCAAGAGGGAGAACAGCTGATGAAGTGTTTGGTGATACGCCGCCTCCAAGTGTTCCGGTATCGCGTTTTAATGTCAGCAACTGCACACAAGCGTTCATTTGCGCTCGTAGTCTGCCTAATCAGGGAACAGATTCCCCCCTCAGTTCCTAGAAGCTGAATTAAAAAGACTGGTAAATAAGAGGGATGTTCGTAAATTTTGCTGAGCTAACATTACGTGTTAGGACTTCTTACGACTTCAGATTCAAGCTTGCTTTTCAGTAAAGTCCAACGCATGATGCGGCCATCTGCTGACACTGAAAAGAAAGAGAGTTGGTTTGTACCAGCATCAACCTCCCAGCACACTGAGCAAAAACAAGCGAAGAAGTCGGTGGGAATGGCAGCGTAAGTAACTTTCGCAATCCAGTACCTGAAACGTATTCGCCTATGGTATCCTAAAGAAGTGCAAGAGTAAAATAAGCATACCGTCCCAAACAGGATCAGTGTGTTTTCCTGTTTTCACTGTAGAGTAGTGCCATGGCCGCTTGCTAGATGATGTTGCGTCAAGAACAGCCACATTGCCATCGTACAGCCCTACGCATAATAGTGACGGTTGCAGTGGGTGCCAGTCGAGGCTGCATACTTTCTGCGTCGCACCGTATTGCAAAATACAACCAGCTGCTTAGCGGTACACAGGGCTTCCACTCCCAACATCTCCCACGGGAAAACTGTAACGCACAGTGGTTGAAGTTGAGGAAGCTCAGACAATATTATTGAGGGAGCAACTCCGCAACCAAAAGTGCTGACTGAATCAAGCTTCCAAAAGTACTCTGGATGTGACGTATTCTTCAGAGAGAAGCAACAGACATAGCCGCAGCCTTGCTTGACGTATTCGTAGTTCCCTATGCATGAATAATGCCAAATGCTTGGGTTTTCGGTTCACTGATGTGCGCTAGTTATATTTTGCAAAAACAACCAAGGCAGGAGGCATCTAAAAAGTACTTATTGCTCAACAGCCAAGTAAATAGTGGCCTTTACACTATGTCTGAGCAGCAACACAGTGAGTAGACCGCCCAGACAAGTTGATGGCTATGCCTTTGTACAATACGTCACTCACCAAAGCCCACAGCCAGAAGATCGTGATAGTGTGGGTTCCAGCGAAGGACCATGGCATCCTTTCCTTTTGCTCGCGGGAACCGAAATTCCCAAATTGGACTGATCTTTAGTGGCGTATCAGCAGGTTCTTCTTCTGTAGACTGAAAGAGCCTATAAGCTTCCTGTTGAGCGTTGAAGCTCACAACACGCTCCAAAACCTGTACGTGCATGAGGCTTAGAGCAAGCATGAGATCAGGGGGTTGCTCGGAGGGCCATATTCTTACGGCTTGGTGAATTGTCCAGGGGATTCGGCCAAGTGCCTGTGCAAATATCTGCATTAGAGCCACACCTCTACTGATTTTTTTGTACTAGAGGCGCATCACTAGTACCTTGTAGGCACCGTTGGCGCGCCTGCTATAGAATCACTTTGAGACTAGCGACACTTCTAAAGAGCCAGTGGAGAACAGTGAAGATGAATCACCTTAAGTGACCACCTGAACTTTTCGGTGTTTACAAGGCTTCGAACCGTATCATGCTGGAACAGCTTCAACGAGTGCCTGTCTCCTGGCTATCAACGCAATGAGGGCAGGCACGCACCCACCAAGCGGAGTAATGCCTTCCATGTCTTATAGCAATAATCCAAGTGTCTGAAATCTACGAGTTCGTGACAATATGCGTGCACCTTCGCTTCGTTCTCCTTTCGGCTTTGTGTTTCAGCTTCCTTCGCATACGCGTCCCATATCATCCAGTAATTTGCTGCAAATCTCATAGTGTACGTCCCAGAAGGTTTCGCGATGTAATGTCCTGCTCAGCTTTTTACATTCCTATCAGCTTGAACAACCTAATCCGTGCTATCTCCGGCAGCGAGTTTACGGCAACACTCCACCGCTAGCATGGCTCCGTTTGATAATACGTACCGGTTCCACAGCACAGCCGTTTCGGAGGTGGCAGCGTTGAGCAACTTTGTTCGCTGCAAAATCAGATTAACAGATCAACGTCGCCAGGTCCTTCGCGCGTTCGGCATTCACAAATGAATATACAATCATGTGTACATAGGAGTGAAAATGGTAAAACGTTTACACAGTGGGTCGGCTTTTAATCTGCGTAGCCCTATCCACATTGTTGAACTGGTTGCGCATGACCCTCCCCTCCTCCTCCAGTGTCGCTGCGCGGACACGAAAATGGCATTTGTATTTGTTGGGCATTCACAAACAAAGTAGCCAAGGAGTATGTACTGCACCGTGGCCATGATACTGGTAGCGGCTCATTGTACTGGTTATTATCCACCTCCGTCATCCTCAATTGAAACTTCTACGGCCTCCAGTTCCCGTCGGCGCTCCTCTGCCTCCTCTCGGAGCCGCAGGAGCTCCTCTTGTTCTGCAGCTTCTGGACTATCCTTCAAAAGCAAAGTACTGCAGAGCGCAGACCCAACACAAGAGTCTAGTGGGTTGAAGAACAGAGGGATATGGGCGACGTTCTCCATCTTATAGGCATTTCCTTGTGGTCCCAGCAGTTTCTGGCAACGTCACTGGCTCCTAAGGCGAATCACTACCTTTCAATGGAGAGATGAAAAACGGTCTGCTCAACAGCACCTTCCTTTTTAAACTGATTTTCTTTGAAAGAAAAGCGGGTAATATTCTGTGGCGCGCGGGGATTCTGAGGATACAAGATCTTAGGAGGCATGCGCTGGCGGAGTTCCTCCGGAGTCAACTGAACTTGATCCTTCGGCTTTAACCGTTGGTTTGCCTGCAGTGGAGCTCAAATACGAATTCGAAACATCTAGTGAAGCACAATTTGGCTCTAGCCTTTGGTTTTCTTTTGGAGGATCGCAGGAAAATGGAGAGTCTCTGGTTGTAGTGTCGTTATTGGCACGATCAGGTTTGCATCGTTAAACAGGGATGCGCGCGGAGCAGTGGACCCCTGTCGGGCAGCCAGTGCCAAGGGCACTCTAGCGCGTCCGCCCCTATGGGCTCAAGAATTTTCTACATAAACTATACACGAGCCTTTGAAGCCTGAAGAGTGCCGCTTGTGTGGTGCATTGTTGGGGCCAGGGTACCTGCACTTCATCGCTGTCTTGGGCATCTTCTCCCCTAAAGAAGAGGGCAAGGGAAGAACGCCGGTGGCCAGTCATGCGCTTAGGAAGCGCCGGTGACTTTTCTGACTGGGGTGGCTTTGGCTTGCTCATTGCGGTAAAACTCAGCTTCGTGCACCGCACCCGGGCCAGTGGACCCTGAACAGTTGAGCAAAGCAAGCATTCAGCCATCTGTTGCGTATTCATCTAAATGGTACAATAGGTGGTAAGTTGGTGGGGCATTGAGTGCCTCCCTCTTTTCTATGAAGTTAGCGGAGGCACAAGTGGGTCCAGATTTTCTAGAGACGATAGACCACGAAATCTCACTAGAGCAGCAAGATTGTGCAGTACAAGTAGTTTAATGCCCTCGATGTATAGAATCCAGGTTATCTCTCCATATGCCTAAATTTTATTGGCCTTCTTAAATCCGTTGATCTATATTTTTCGAAGTCGCTGCCTTGCCGCCCCCGGAAGAGACCGCGGGTCACCTGCTGGAGCTTCCAGCCTGGGGAGGCTGATGCTGCAGTCAAAACGACTAAAACACAGGATTACTAGGGGACCAAAACCTTAGTTAAAATGATTATTGAGATCTCATTTGTGCCGTTGGTGCCGGTGTAGCCGCTGAGTTCGTTCGCCGGGAGTACGGAGAGCCCCTGGCCAGCAAATTGTCACCGTATGTAGTGCATGTCTCCGGCCGACGCCAACCAAAAGCCCGCCCTAGCCCCTCACGGTTTTTTCCATATATTACTGGGTTCTATAGAAGTGGAGGTGCCTGGCAAGCAAAATTGCTACATCTCCACACGGCTCCAATTCCGTGGGCTGCTCGACAACAAGGCCGATTTTCACAGGAGATGAACATCCAACAATAGCAAGTACAGGCAGTATACTGCCCTGAGTCAGCTTCAGTCCCCTTTGTATTTGTCTGTCAGAAAAATTTTTTTAGACTTCATGAAGAATTCGCCATTCTCATGTCGCAAATCAGCGCAGCTCACAGTCTTTGCCTAGTCCCCCCCGGCATCGTAATCGTGCCGCTCTTTGGCTGGATGTACACACAAACTGAAACCCAACCCCTAAAACCTGTTCGGTAGGCTTCACAGATCACAGCCTATGGTACTCTCATTTGCATATCGCCAACAGCTAGAAAACGAAACGGCCAGTCAGACCACTAACATCTGTGAAACCAGAACTGAGTCGACTGCAAGGAGCATTGGCACAGCGCGCCGTCGCATTACTCCCAAGTCTTGCCTCGTTGGCACGGCTTGGCAAGCTCCCATTCGACGCTTATAAATGAGTTTACCCTGCAAGGAAGTAGTAGCTGAAAACTCTCCCAAACCGCAACGAAGTCATCTCCATAATGTTCCCCACAGCAGCATAACCATTTAAGTTGTTTGTGGAGCATGATAAAATCCTGCTGTGCTGGTCGGTGCAGTGATCGCTTACGAGTGCCCCTGACCAGGATTTCAAACGCGGTGAGGCGATGGTAGTAAGGTAGACAGAATTGCGAATGCCTCTGGAAAATTCTGGAAGGTTCTGTATGTGCCCTTTCGATAATTGCGGAGGGACGGGGGGAGGGGACACCATTAAACGAGGAGGCATTGCACTACCGTAAAACATTCCACAGGTCTTGTGGCCCAGAGCATCAATTCATGCAACTCCGCCGCAAGCCTTGGTGCCAAGAAAGGCATGGCCGCATACCCCGCCATAACTGCACTTCCGTTGTCCCCATGAAAGCCACACATCGTCAGGGGACGGCATTCTCACGATCCTTGTTGCCTACGTCCAAGCTATTCGTCGATATGGGAAGGCGTTGCATCTATTGTCTCACTTTAGGGCTTCCATAAATGTAGCCCTGTCTACCATCTGGTTGGCAGAGGAGGCGTAACTGCTCCATGAACATGGCCACAAAAACCCACATACCAGCCCCCCCTTCTAAGTGCAAAGTATCGTAATAAGATGCCGCAACGTTGCCAGGGCAGTGCACTAACGTTATGCGGAGCTCGTATTTAGCTGTATACATCGGTAAACGCAGCATGGCTATGATGACAACATGTGGCGTGAAGGTCAGCCTTTCCCTCAATAGAAAAAGAAGCTCTAGCTGTCCAGTCCCACTTTTTCCCCTCACTGCAGATCACTCTTTACGGGGTATGTCTACAAGGTGCAGGTCCTACAATCCGCATGCATATTGGCCGACTAACGGGATTTCTCCAGCTTAGACGAGGAGAGAGAGCTCAATAGCTTCAGTGGAGTCAAAACACTTCAGATAAGTGTCCCCAAGAACAGCTCATGTCTTCAGGAATCCTGAGCACAAATGGCGGGGCCTGCGGCTAGGGCGAAGACGAGACAGCCCGTCCTGAGTTGCAGCTCTGCTTGCTGCAACTGCTGCTCGAGGGCAACAGCGCATGCAAACATCCGCTGTCCCCCCTTTATTGCGTGAGCAAACACCATAGGCAGGCTTTAAACGCAATACGAACTTCACCCTCAGTAGCCAACCTGCTCGCAAGTCCAAGTGCAAACCCCATCTTCAGACAAAGCATGTTACACTCCTCTTCTCATCCAGGTGGCGAACTTGTCACTCGTCCCTAATGGGGCTGTTACACAAAGTACTTACGCGTGATAAAGACAGAAGAACCGCACGTAGAAGCAACGGATACAGCAACTCTCTCGTCGCTCGTGTAACGCTGGCAACCATCTGGTACAGACTAGTGAGGCACAGCCCAGTAGACCAGCAGAGGTCATTGCAAACGTGGAGTGCAAGGACCTGTCTTTCCTTCCACTTCACAATTCAACTATTTCTCAAAGCGTTTGCATTGTTAGCAAGGGAACTCTAGCAGAATCGTTGCAAAGATAAATATTGCTCTCTGCTGTTTTGCTCTGATGAGCACCTCCAGCGTGGTGCTTCTTCTAAGCGCCTAGAAACCCCCGCAAAACAAGTTACGCTAATCGCGCAATTCATGGAACTAGTAGGCGAGTCCATTGCACAGGGCAGCTTGTGGGCCACGCTTGAGGCGTCCTTCCCCGTTGAAGTGTGTGTTCTGCCATGGGCATTACTCCATTTGCAATGTTCCCAAAAGCATTTCTCCAGAGAGCCATAAAATCAATGTTAAGATGAACGGTGTCGCGTAAACCGGGCCCAGGATTTGACTCCTGGTGAACCATGCGGGCAGCCCCATGGTCGGTCCCGTGGTCCAGGCCATCCACACTAACTCCAAAAGGATAGCTATACATAAACACGGCGCCAGAATTTTATATCTAGTAGCCAGGCGAAGGTGTGGCCGTACGAGATTTCTTATTGTATGAGGCCCACGAAGGCCCAATTTGCGCACATTAGCCGAAACCCCAACAAAGAGGAGAGAGAGGCCTCGCAGCCAAAACTACGAGCACTTCAATGTATTCCTCGAGAAAAGCTGCCCATTTCTTCGTCTGGCTTCTTCTTTTCGTGGGGTCTCTGACCCACGCTCCACTTACTGGTGGAAACTACAAACTGGAGGTCACCTGCAAGCTGCCGCCAGCGAAGAAGCTGAAGTGGCGAAGTTCCGGTGCGTCTCTTTTAAATTGGAGGGTATTGACGTCCTTTTCATGTGAAGAAACTTCAGCAGCAAAGTTCCACTGGACAAGCTTGACTACCCTGGAATCTGTTCTGTATCTGCTGCAGTCAGTCTTCGGTTAAGGGAGCATGCGAAGGCTTGAGATGGTTTGCTCAGGGGGTTGTCCCCGGAAATGGGACGCCCGCTGACCAGAAAAGACGACCAGAGCAGGGCAAGAGTAGACGTGTAGTGACTGTCCAGCAGGACTGCCCTCCTGCGTGGCAGGTAAAGTCGATGGAAACTTGATGGCCAGCTTCCACCGTTGATGAACGTACAGTGTTCATCTGTGCCAATTCTAACAAGCCTGCGGAGCCACGTAGGGTTTGCAGAACACTAACAATCACAACAGGTTCGTCGTGTTGCCTGATGAGACCGCAATGGAGGCCCCAGGTGCACGATCTTTCGATACTGAAGTGCGGGGTGGCGCACTCAGTGCGAGGGCTGCACATACTAACAGTTACGGAACTCAGGGAACTGAACGAACGGATGGGCGTTTCAGCAGCACCCGAAGCCGGGCTATGAGCTCCTTTCTTTCCACCAGTACCGCAGTAGCTCTTGGTACGGCAGAACTAGCCATGGCCAGAGGGCCCTGGGCGCTATTCTGCTTCAAAGTAAGGAATGCGCGGCTTTCAAGGGCCTTGCTTATTGTGGCCGTCTTAGTGGACTGCATTGGAGCTTCTTTGGAGGCGACGAACATTATTTCTCCTTCTTTGTTCTGGGGTTTCCGCTCGCCAGCGTTTTTCGGCTTCGTATGCGTGGTGGCCACAGGTATTTCCTGCCGGGGACTGTGGTCAACCAGAAGGGGATATTTTCGTACATGGGCTGGATGGCTTGACTTATTCTTCCTATTAGATATTGCGGCGGATCTAGCCTACCGCGTTGGGGTCGACATGGGATGGTGGACGTATTCACCAGTGGCCTTAGCAATTTTCGCCGTCCTCAGGAATATGCGAGCATGGTCAGTTTTAAGGATCTGCCGGGCATTTCGCTCAACCATAAACAATTTAACTCGCAGTGCCAACGACCTAGCAGCTGTATGCATCTTCGTAGTGGTTTTCTCGCTACTAGTACTCGTTGTGCTGCTGCATTTCTACGGATTCACTTGCTGGTACCGTTGCTATCCGGAGTTGCCTCTACCGCCAGAGGTTCAGGAGAGCGATTCGTGCTCTGCGGAGAGCTTCTTCTGGGATCTTGACGACTCACAGCCTCTCTTCTGCTCTGATTACATCTCTCCCTGTAAAGGCAGCACGCAGTGCCGCAACATCTTTCTCCATTCCATTACTTCTTCCTGCACCGCCCAGGAGCGCAAACGTCTTCAGGACAGGGCATGGCAAGAGCTACATGCGAATGAGCAAGCTGGGTATGGAGCCTTCGGTGTCCAAAGTTTAGGAGCCGCAGCAGTCTCCCTCCTTGAAGGGTTCACTCAAGAAGGATGGTCAGCTACAATGCAAAGCCTTGCAAACGGAGATCACTACACTAACGGAGTTGTAGCATATATTACATTTCCATTAATGGTGGTCATCGGAGGCATGCTGCTAATGAACCTCGGCATAGCGGTACTTTGGGAAGCTTTTGACGCTGCTAATGCGGTTTCCCTTGCTCGCCCCGCAATCTTAAAGGAATCTGAATGGAGGGTATACCAACTGCTAGGGACAGACTGGCTTAAGTATCTCATGGTAGAGCTGAATCAGAGCAAAGACAGCGCTGGAGGCTTGATGCGGTCTGCTCCTTCCGAGGAGACGGATGGTACAGCAGTAGGTGAAAATGTATGTTGTTCAACCTTCAAAAATGCTATTTCCAGCTATTGGTACATGGGCAGAGATTGGTTAAGAAGGGCATTTGAGATTCGATTCCCTGAACAAAAAAAACACATCAATTCTCTCTACAAGGAAGTTAGAACCTTCGCATTTCGTTTAGCTACTCACAAGGTAGCCTCTCCCGTGATGATGATTGTCGTTTTTATTGACTTGGGCGTCCAGTTTGCTCAGAGTGGAAGGAACACTGGCTGGCTTGTCACTGCATTGGACCTCTTCACTAGTACGATGTTCGTGATCGAGTCAATAGTGCTACTACTGGCATTTGGTAGACGAGGAATGAAGAACGGATTTATTTTCCTGGATGTGCTCATTGGAGTACTTGCCATTTTAGATGGATTTCTAGCACTTACATTGTGTTCGACTATCATTGGGTGCAGAGCGTCAGCTGTACAAACCACCGGCCTTTTAGGGGCAATAGCTGTCATTTCGGCCTTGCTGCGCCCATTTCGAATCTTTAAGGTAGTAAAGTGTTTCTGTCCATTGAGGCTAACGGCCGAGATGGTGTGGTCTTTACACAATGCCCTGATACCTTATGTGATGCTGCTCCTCTATTCGTGCGCCATAGTGTCACAGCTGGGACTGTTTTTCTTTTTCGATCCCACATATATATCTGCTCACGCAAATGATGCTTCCCTCGACTTGACGAAGTATTTCAACTTCCAAAACGCGGGAAGCGCCTTGCTCCTCTTCCTCCCTATCCTGACAGGGGAATCATGGCATCTGTTGTTCAAGGAACTGCATCATGTCTACGGTGGAAATGCGGAAAGCGTAACCTTTGATTCCAATCAGTTGTCAGCCTTTGTCCTCTCCTCTCCATCTCGGGTGGCAGTAATAAACACGTTCCTTTATTTTGCTATCCTTTTTTTAAATTGTGTGCTTTTTAACCTGTATGGAGCAATTCTGATCAGCGAGTTTATTCAGACTCAGAAGTCTCTGAGCGTGAAATACGCCGCAAAATTTATTGTCACCTGTCGTAACGCGGGAATCCTCATGCCTGCGGAAGACGCGCTCCAGGGCCAGAACGCCCAGGCACTCTACACGCATGCGAACATGCGCACAAAAGACCAGCGAGACGCGGTTATAAAGGCTATCACTATGGGTGGGCTGCATCTTTCCTTATCACGCAGGTCACGTCCCCCACTGCCAAAAAGCATCGCTTCAGTAGACCTCTGATTTGGGGTCAGTGGGACAGAGCTTGCTTTTTTCAAAGAACTGGAGGACGCTTAGGGCCCCATCTGTTCCTTTGCCACGCATCGTTGCAGGGTCAGACCGAGGAAAGTCTGCAAAGGCGCTGGGAGAGTTGGCACACAAGACATCCGTCGTCCTAGATATCTGCAAGACAGTTGCAAGGAAAAGAAGCAGGCAAGCCGCAAGGGCCAGTTCTGGCAGCCTATCCTGGGGAGGAGACAAGAGCCGCAGCAAGAGCAACAGTCTTATTTCCTTCGCTTCGGAGAAACCTCAGAAAAAGGAGTTAATTAGTGACACCGCTTTTGACAAGGCTGCTGCCGAACGCGGCCTTCCACAATTCTTTGACCGATCGGCAAATAATGCGACTGGCAAGACAAAGCGGGTGTCGAGTTCCTTACAAAAGAACAACAATGGTTATGGCCCAGCCAACATACGGCGAGCAGATGAATCCACTGCCACTGCCTTGCAAATTTCGGACATTGCTAACGGTGGGAAGCTGGGAACAACATACAAGGCAGCCGTCAAATTTGCTGCGGATGACAGCACTGTAGTCTTGCATGATGCTTGCGGTGGCTCAAGAAATCGTTTCACTGGTGGGTAGAGCTGCGCCCTGAGCATCAGTGTACGGACTATTATGGAACGCTTGATAAGGATTTGGCCCCATAGTAGTTAGGGGCCTGCAGCATTAATAAATGCAGTCTTTGAGCAGGAAGAAGCGATCGCATTTCATTCCTCGCCACACCTTTATTGCCTAACAGAACGTGGGAGACTTGCTGTTGCCAAAAAGGCAGTAACTTCCTCATTTTGTCGATGCGAACTGCGTGCAGTAGGCACTCCAGAAGAACTGTCTGTCAGAGAGCTATGTAGCATGTGCTGGAATGCAATTAAGGAGGCCTTCAACCAGGGCAAAATCCTGCTGAAGACAGCAGCAGCTGCAGGACTAGCGCAGTTTACGCCAACGGATCCAGACAGTCCGTTGCTGTACTTGGCTTACGTTGGCCATCTGGTTAGTGCTGACTGTGACGTGCTTTCCCCATATTCAGCCGACTCAACGAGCAACCCAATGAAGACGGAACCCAAATCAAAAGGACTCAATTCGTTAGCAGAACTAAATAACAAGTCAGGATCAACGGTTAGCATCAACGATCGCCCTCGTGACGCTGAAGTGCATCTGCGGCGGCCGGAGTTCCAGCGCCTGCCCAGTTGCATTCAGTTCGTAATCGCGAAGTGTCGCGCTGCTGTTGCACACCTTCAGAACGTGTGCGGAATTACTGGCATGGATTGGCTAAGGCTAATTATCCAAATGGCTTCTTTTTTGGAGCTGATCGTCGACTGTTCCATGAAAAGGGAAGCGTCTTCCAGGCGAGTCTTTGGTTTTGCAGAACTGGGGTTTCAAATCACATTGACGGCGGATATCTTTATACGCTTCAGCGTGAGCGAGAAATCTGGCTTTTTCCGCTCTTGCTTTAACTGGTTAGACTTAGTGTTTCAAGCTGTAGGGTGGATGTTCTTAGCAGCCGCGCTTTCGTTGAGCAGGAACGAGGTGAACGCAAAGATGGTGGAGACCGCTTATTTCCGATTTGCTCAATGCACTCGCGTGGTTCGTTGCATCTGGATTCTCCGCCTTTTCAAAGGGACAGGCATGCACAGATTGGTCCTTGCAATGCAGGTGGCCTTACGAAGAATACTTCGGCTGTCCTTCATCTTCCTTTTGTTAACCACATTTTTTGCTCTTAACTTTCGGTTTTTCCTGCAGCCAGTAGCAGGTGCTTCTCCGAAAGTACCTTTGGAGCATGCCAATCTCACAAGCCTTGGCGAGAGCTTCCTGAGTGTATTTATTCTTACCACCTCTGAAGGCTGGCCAGGCGTCCTTACGGACTTCCTGGATCTCGGAGAGAGCCACCGCTTGCTAACGATATTCCTTTGCATTCTTGTGGTTGCTTTGCTTAGCGTTTTAGTCGTAAATTTGTTCGTTGGCATTATTGTGGATGTGCTGGACCAAGAACAGGCCAACTTGGAATACACTGGGGGAGTCAGGAGCGCAACAGTCCTCCGTTGGAACGAAATGCAACGAGCTATTTTCACATCAAACATTATAACCGAGATAGTGGAACAGCGTGGTGGAGATAGGCGAGGGGGTGACACGTATGGCGAAGGACTGGAAGCAAGAGAATCGCTAAAGCGAATCATCACCAGCAAACAGTTCGATGTAGCAGTGGCAATAATTTCCTTTTTGTCGTGTTTGACAATGTTAGCGGCGGGAGCATGGGCCGAGAGCGACATACGGTGGTCCTTTCCCAGCTACCAAATATGGATTTTCTGGATTAACGCAGTCGTCGTTGTAGTATTCGTCATGGAGCAGTGTGTGCGGCTCGCAGTTTTCAAAATGGCACTTTTTCAGAAGGGCGTCTACATTGTGGACCTGGCGGTTGCAGGAAGTTCGCTGGTAGCCCTACTTGTGGGTTTGGCGACCTCTTTGCATACTGCTTTCCCTTCAGAACCTCTCTGGCCCGTTGCCTTTAGGATGATTCGGGTTGCGTATGTGGCTTGCCATCATCTTCCCGTAATGCGTGTGATTTCTATCTCAATGTTTAATGTGTTTGGCTCCCTCTGCAGGGTTACGTTGTTTTTGTTCATCACTATCTTTTTTTATGGGTTGTTTGGGACATGTCTGTTCTATGACGCGCTTGTAGACCCCAATCAACATTTTTGCTTTGCGTCGCTTGGGGAAAGCTTTCTGCTGCTCCTATCTTTCTCAACGGGCGAGGTCTGGCACGACACCGTGCTGAAAATCCGGGCCCTCTACTGTGAAAGGGACTTGCCACTCCTTGGATGGTCCATCTTGCCCTACGCAATATCGTTTGTTGCAGTGGCTTTTCTGCTGCTTATGAATTTGTTCACGAGTACTGTGCTGAAGGGCTACGTCGATGCAAAACGAAACCAATCTCTATGGAAGGTCGCCCAGCAGCAACAAGAGTTGCTCAATAAGTGGAAGCTACGGGAGATGAAGCTAAGCTGGCTCCCGATCCATGTAGCTGTACAAGTTTTGGCAGAAGTATCACCACCCATAGGCTTCAAGGACCTTTATGTTGAATTGGGACCTCGCCGGATGCAGGCTATTCTTGCAAATTTGGCTGTATATCCTCTTCCAGTCCACCGAAACAGTGTGCACATCAGAGACATGGTGCTTACTACCACGTGCCGCGCCTGCGAGGCTCATGCTCAGCGTAGAGGACCGCTTTCTGCATGCGATGCCTTCCAGAACGAGCAGAAGGTGGAACTGAATCCACGGCTTGTTAACGCATGGATAAGCCGCTTTAGCGATGCTGATGTAGCGACGGAATTCAATATCCTCCAATATCTCGCGGCGCTCCAAATTCAAGCATTCTGGAGGACGCAAAGATTGCTGCAACGCAAAAGTGTATCCGACCAGCTAGGATACATGAAACACTTATTATTTCTTCTCGAAACTTCGGCACCCATTTGCGCGCGAAGAAAATCAAGGAATGAGGGCCGGCGCAGTACTCTTCGTCGCAAACGCGGGACTAAAACAGGAGGGTCGTTTCTCCAGAAGCCCAGTGGCCTAACTCAATTAGGGACGTTCAAGTTGGCTCCAGAGAAAAGAGATAGGCTTAAAAGCGTTTTCAAGAACGGAGCATGCGGGCGTCTGATCAGGCATCCAGAGCGAGGGCAAACGGATTCGACAGTTCCAGTTCAAATTCAGCGGTCTTCGTTGTCAAACGAAGAACGCCTTGCTCAAGATGAACAACGGCAACGTCAGAAGTCACTGCTGCACCGCAGTGAGGCAAGCGAATGCATCACCGACCTTACAGAGCTGGGAAAGGTGTCAAGTGGGCATCACCTGCACCTTGATAGAGAGTCCTCTGTTCAGAGGCATCCCGGGCAAGGAGATGATTCCTCGAGAGCCGAGAGCGTAGAGGAGAGGTCCTCCCCACGTAGGCGCTCCAGCACAATCGTTCCTGGAGCTCAACAAGATTCATCAACGGATGGTACCGTAGCTGATAAGGGGGCACGCTTGTCGACGACAAGTGCGGCAGGGCTCCCGCTAAGATCAACTGTTGCAATGCACTCTTCTGCAGAAGAATTTTTTCAAGTCGTGGAACCCAAAACTATTACAGCGCCAAGGCGATCAAGCATGAGGGCCCCAAAGCCGTTCGTGCCTGTGCAGCAACCGCGTAGAAGCCTGCGCATCATCCCTGTTACACCGCAGTTGCAGCAAGCATCCACTTCTAGTGCCGATCAGGCCGAAGGGATCGAGCATCCCAGACGAAAAGGACAGTCCGTACAATTTACAGGTGTTGAGAAGGTTGAGCTCCAGCAACTTCTAGCGCCAGAGCTAGCTCAACACTGCAGCAGCGATTCGGTGGACGATACAGACAGCAACAGCTAACATTTTCAACGTCATTTCACTGGATCAGGGTGCTGCTTTTGCAGTGCTTGGTGTTCCGTGTATCGCCTTGGAGGCCTCAAAGACCATTGTTTTGCCACTGGAAACGTAGATAACCCCTCACCCACTGCCAGGAGAGTTTATCTTTAGTGCCGCACGAGGTGCTCTAGGACCTGGTCAACAGCGTAACTACTACAGAGATACAGCATGTTTAATTTCATTTACAACGTCACTAGTCTTACTCCCTGTCTTTCGAATCTCACTGCCTATGTTCTTTGCATGCGGCACAATGCACGGGCAAAAATCTTGCACAAACAGGATCAATTTGACGCCAGGGGTATGGTTGTAAAATTCTCACGAGATAGATTACTACCATACGCTAAATTTCCAGTCAAATCAAGGACATGGCACAAGACTTAAGTACTCATCACTTTAAGCAGTAAGCTGGCCAGTTGCCACGCGCCGTTATCACGTTCGCCTCGAATGAGTAAAGTACAATGTGTAACGAGGACTACTTTCAGCACCACAGGTTCCCTAAACAGCGAGCATGCTCAATCTATGAATTTCCTTTCCGCATTTTGCGTTGCCTTAAAGAATTTGGGCTCCATAACTCCTTAAAACTGTTGCCTAAATGAGCAAGGGACGGTGGTTCTGGAAGCGTGTACGGGTTAAACTTAATTATTTGATGCCAGAGTTACTGCGAAGTATTGATTATAATAACAATTGCTTATAATTAAGAACCCGAACAAGGATGAACTAATCTTGTCCAGAATGAAATCTAGATAAGTCTATATAGGGGTTCGAACTGGCTGATATTGCAAAATCATCAGAAGAGATGACACTAGCGGTGAAACGCTTGTCGAATTCGGAGCTAGCTTGTTCTCCTCGAAATGCGTGGAGGCGTAGCTATTATTAATACGTATTTAAGGTGGTAAAGCACTATATATAATATTTATATATTAAATAATATAATAATTATATATAAACTAATAATACCTAGTTATGTTTTAAAATAAGTGAGACTATTGAGGGAAATCTCGAAAGTCCAAAAGCAAACAGCCCACATCACAAGTTAAGGTTTTTAAAAAGTATTTTTAACACAAAAAGAAATTTCATTTCATTTTTAATTAGGAGGCCAGCTTAGGAGCAGTTATCCTTTAAAGAGTCCGTAATAGCTTGCTAAATTAGAAATTATGTACTAAAAATGAAAGAAAAAGAATAATGTACATAAACTGAGATTTATATTTAAATCGATGGAGGAGCGTTCTATATTCAAAAGACAAAAGTGGAAGCTTTTGTAGAAAAAGTAGAAAAGAGAATGGCAACCTGAGTAGCATAAATATAAGTAAAAACGAATGCTCCGAAAGCTAAAGGGTTTCCATAGCTAAGTGCTAATAAAAGCAAAGGCTGTTAGCTAATGAACTGTGAAGAGCGCAGTGTATATCATGCATTGAAGCCTAATGGAAGTCTACCGGCATCCTCCCCTTTTTTACCCATGAAATGTTTTCTTGATGACCGCCACAACAACTGAGCTACTAACCCGGTAATGGGTTCAGAGGTTCAGCGTCCCTTTGGACGGTCAAATGGCGAACGTTCTATAATAATAATAAGCGCATCTCCTTCGGTTAACCAGCTGAAGGGTGTGCCAGCTGGCGTGATGGATTAGGGCTTTCCGTGCGTGGAGCGGACCATCGGGGCTACACATCAGGCATCTTCTATGTTGACCACACTGGCGCGTGCTGCGCTGCTCCACAGAAAGCCGTGCATACTGTCCCTATTCGACATGCTTGATCCTGATGTTTGCTACTCCTCTATGCTGCCCTCTCCTCGTTCATCGGGTGGAGAACATTTTTTGGAGGTCTCACTAGTGGAACTAACTTTATCACGATTGGCTTGACTGCGCCAACTTCGAGGGAATTTGCAAAACGGATACTTTTAGGCCACAAGAAGCGACTTCAATCTGAGCTATGGTGCGTAATCAATCGGCCAAAAGGCTGCAGGAAAATGCTTTGTACTTGCAACCCGTTTGGTGCACCCACTCTGCACCGTCAGCTACGCCACGCGCGGTTAACGTTTTTCCAATCAAATGGGCGCGAAAAGACTGTAGCGTCTGCGTAGCGAAATATCAGCATGCACGGAATCGTGGCTTAACTCAAGCCACCTCAGAAAAAAGAGTTTTCAAGTTGCACGACTGTTTCCCTGGGCAGCTGATATTTGGCTGTTTCCATCCATGCTACGCTGACTCAACGTCTTCGTCGCTTGCTGTTTCTACCGGTGCTCTTGGTGACCCTTCCTCAGGGGTTTCTGCTCCATGACGGATCTGTTCTGTTGCTTCAGCTGATTCGGCAGGGTCAGATTCAGCCGCTTCCGCCACGACGGCCTCGCCAGCATCAATCGCAGTTGCATCAGCAGCGTCGCTCACCAGAGCACTGTCCTCATTTGATGCAGAAGCTTGGTCTGTCGCCTCTGCTGCTTGGGCCTCGTGTTGGTCCGCACCTTCCGACACATCAGGTTCTTCTGCTGCTGGGGCTTCATGTTGGTCCACATCTTCCGGCAGTGCAGGTTCTCCTGCTGCTGGAGCCTCATGTTGGTCCACATCCTCCGATACAGCGGGTTCTTCGGCTGCTGGAGCCTCATGTTGGTCCGCATCATCCGATAAAGCCTGCTTGCTGCTACCACCTTCCTGAATCTCAACTGGAGGTTCAACAATATTGATATTGGTTAGTTTTTCCTGTGCTTCTTGCTCGCCTTCAACTTCATGTATGCTCCCTCCCATGTCATTTGTATGCAATTTGTCTTCTCCTCTAGCCTGCTCGATTCCTGCTTTGTGTAACAATTCGTCGAGTGATCTCCCCTGCATCCTGAGTGCCGTATTAATTTTCTCCAGCAGCGCTTTCTTCTCATTCAGTTCTTCCTCAAGTTTGTGCATTTCTCTGCTTTTGTCGCCCTTGCCCTTGCCTGTCTTGTCGACAAACTTTCCGCTCACCTCAAATATCAGTGCACCAGAGAGCCACTCAAAGGCCACATCATTGGCGTTCAGGCTGAACTCCTGAAGCAGAGCAGAAATGTAAGCCTACACTTGTTCAGCTTAACGGTCTCATTAAATTTCTAGTGAGTCGTTCTTCCTATAGGAATTAGTCGTGCTGTCGTGCCATTTCGGCGTGGAAATGCATAGTGTTCTGTTGTTCCCCATGGCGCTACACGCCTATGTGCACGAGCTGCTATGGCTATCTCTGCGCACGAGCATCCACCGTACGCCTTTGAAAAACCGATGAAATTTGCTGTTAGACTGCCTTTTAAAACGCAGCGCAGGAAGGCTTCACAGTGACTGATCTTGCTTACTCTCGAACTGTTGAAGACAACGTCTCTGCTTTCCTCTTCGAGGGAAACTGTAGACACTTCTGTCATTCCGTCTAGCCAGCGGTATAGGACCTGCGTGCCAATTTTTTTTGACAAAACAGCATCAACGGGAAATAGTTCCTAGCGTGCATTTACCTTCCGTGCCAATGCAGCAGTAGATGGAAAACTCGATTTTGCAAGACAGGGAGAACGGTTTTGGCGCATGCCGATTGTCTGTATACGCAGCAATCTGGATGCAGTCAAAGCTGGCTGTCGTTCTTCCCTTTGCCCCATTCTGAGAGCCACGCCATTGTTTGTGACTGCTGCTGCCAGTCAATAAGTTGACAATGAACAGTCATACCTGTGGATGTCGGCATGACTTCTCCGGCAAGTTATTTGCAGAATGCACAGAGACAGTGATTGTCAGCTCGCGGCCTTTCAGGTCTTCCACGGAATCGAAATCATCAATATCTTCGATGCGGCGAGCCATCAACTCGTCCTCTCTAAACACAGCGAAAACCAATTTTGCATCGAGTGGCTGGAGCATGTTTCTTTTTCTATGTCGCGGGGCTCAATTCTCTAGATCTGCTGATGCCCAGACCTTCGCTGGTTCTTCGTCACAGTGAGTGTAGGGAGTCGCGTGCCATAGTGGACATGCGGGGTTGAATGCAAATTGCCAACTACTGTAATATCTACCCATCTATTTCAGGTCTTGTTGGAGCGACTTGAATATCGATTGATAGAACAAGAGTTCCCCGTTTTTGTCCTTTGGAGTCGAAGATAGGGAATTGCTCTTTCTCTATGGGGAGCAAGCTTCGAATTGTTTCTAGATAAACATAGGCTTGGCCCACCACCTACAGCAAAGGCATCAGAAGGTAAAAATACATACACCTAACGGTTAATCTTCAGGGCGTAAAGCCTATACCTACTGCGCCCAAACCTCATCAAGCTCCTGAGCAGAGCAGTCCTACGCACAAGCAAGTTTATTGAGAGCTATGCCTAACGTTTCTCCTATGCTCCGCATTCCTGCAGTAGGGCTTTTTTGACTCCCTTACTAGGTTTTCCCCATGTCCTCTAGCTCACTAATGGCCATCGTCTCACCTGGTATGATTCTGGATCCGGTGCAAAGGGGTCTGCTACGTCATCCGGTAATGCAAACGGTTGGCCTGGCTCGGGTGTCCAATTAGCATAAATTTCTCGCATTTCAAAGACCTTTCTTTCAAACAAGTCCAGAGACCAGAGCTGAGTTATGGCCGAGTCCATCCGATCAACTCTGATCATAATCTCCGATCTTTGCATTACTGTCCCTCCTAGGGTTGCTCTAGCACTCCGCCCTACCGCATCTCCGCGAACTGTCAGTTTAGGAGAAAAGAAAGCTCCAACTCCTAGCTCTTGTGCAATCATATTTGCTTCATCAACAAGAAGGGAAGTTTTTGTCATTATTTCCTCCAATTCAATTCTGGCGGCTCTTTCTTCCTCCCTTCTGGCATCTTCTTCTGCCCGTTCCTTTCGTATTCTTAGCTCTCGCGCGGTCAATTCTTCTTGTCTACTCTGCAGCTCCCGCTGTATTTCCTGCTTTTCTTGTTCCAGTTCTCGTAATTTCTCCTGAATTACCTCCTGCGATTCACCACTTGCTAACAGCTCTTGTTCCTTCTGCTCCAATTTTTTAAGCAGTTCGCGTCTTTCCGTTTCCAACGAACTCTTCTCGGTCTCTAGCTCTTTCAGCATCTCTTGAAATTTTCTATCCTTTTCTCTATCTGCCTCAGTTTCTTGTGGCTGTCCGTATGCCCCCATCTGGTCTTTTTTCACCTCCTTCATAGCATCCTCCCACAACGGCATGGACTTATCCATATCAAATGGGTCCATAAACACATACAGATTGTTGTGCCCAAACAGAATTCTGTCCTTATGTTGCAGCTGCCTTTCGTCGCCCTCCTGCATTTCCATGCCATTCACCATTGTCTTCCCTACTGCCGTCAACGTTACGCAAAAAGATACATCTTCTGGATCTTCGGCGTCGTTCTGTATTTTTTGACACGTCACAGTAGCATGGCCTGCTACCACACCCAATCCACCAATACGGAAGGTGGGAACCTCTTCCCCCTCTGCCTTTCCGAAAGTGCTCGATCCTTCTTGTATTACGCACACTATCTTTCCGGTAAGAAAAGGGTCTTCGTTTAGGTTTTGTAGAGTGGGAAGTGTCATCTCGACGTTCTTTTCCAGTTTCCCAGCGGCTGCTGCCCTCTTCTTCTCCTCCTCGATTTTTTGTTGCCACGACATCTGCAAAATGATGGTGGAAAGAACACGTTGAACCTCTGCCTAGTCGGCGTGTGAGTGTGCGATCTTCATTTCTGTCAGCTATAGGGTAAAGGCGCCCAGGCAAAATGGAGACCCACACACAAAAAAACGTACTGTCATTTCTTCCATAGCCCGCTTATTTGCCTCAATCTCTTCTTCGTACTGTTTTCGCATAGCCTCTAGCAGAGCCGGGTCGGGCTCTGAACCGCCGCTTGGGGCTGGCAAGGCACCTCCCATAGCCTGAGCAGGTTGACTGACAGATCTCCAAGCAAACCTGTGGTTTCAGGATGAGGGGTCCAGGCAGTGTATATCTTATGTCCATGGTGGCGCAAAACGTTATGGTTATGAATAAGGAAGCCAATTTTTGATATCTTGTTGAGGATGATATTCCATGTACCTTTTTGAGGCGCTCGTTCTCTTCCCGTAACTCTCGAATAAGTTTTTCAAGTGGGTTCTCGTTGACTACGGCTTCATTTTTAATTTGTTTTACTCTATCTGAGCGCACAGGTTGGGAGCCAATATCTTAAAGAATTCACCACGCATTTGCTCGTATGAGAACTATATTACCTTCGCTTCATTAACTAGTTCATTCCCTCCAGGCAGTGTTTCTGGTTGCAGGTTGGTGGCACGAGCAGTCATCAAATTCCCAAGAGGGGTGGGTCCAAAGCTGGAATGAGTCACAACAAAATGTCGAAATGCAGTCTGCAAGAGTGCCGACGAAAAAAAGCCGGGAATGTTCGCTTCTCGCGCACATGTACCTCCTTACTGCATTTCAGCGCATTTTCTCTGTGGGCAGCTGTGTTGTTTACCTGCATAACGGAGAGTGCTTAAAGTCTCTTCGTAATTGACAGAAGCTGGGGAAAGAGCTGCTATCATGCACGTTTTACTATTTCCTCCAAGTGCAGTTTGCAGAATGCGCGTCAACGCAGAGTCGCGGTATGGCACCACCTGCATTCATGCATTAGAAACTGCGCGGAATCCTTATTGCAGCATGCCCACGCGCTGTTCACTTATGGGCGCTGGCGGGCCTGAACGGTTTCGGACCCTCCTGGATCCACATCGGTTAGCCTATTCAACCGGCATAGTTTACTAAAATTTTGGCTTCAAGCGTAGTTGAGACTTTGTCACGAAGATTACCTGCCCAGGTTTCAGTTTCCCGGCTGCTTTGTCTGCAAGGGCAGAAATGACGTTGCCGAGGGCGCTGAGACTCTGATTGATAGCGCAACCTTCTTTGAGCCTGTCTCCCGTGGCCCCGGTAGACCCAGCCCTCTCACTACCGGCCAAATCTACCAGATTGATTTCGGAGCACTTTTGTGAAACGGGCTCTCCTGAAGTGGCTGCGAAGGACAATGTCGCCGGAAGCTCGCGAGGAGTAAAAGAAAAGCTAGTATCTAAACACGCCAAAACCTGCTCTGGCTAGTTTGTCCGCAACTAAGTGATTTAGCTTATAATTTTGTGTACCATACGATCTACGGTGACTTGGCGGAAGCAGATTTGCAGAACCGTGTGCGCACGAGATGACGTGGCATTCATCAGCGTAGCGCCAACAGTGCGATTGGCCGTGCCTGCAGAGAACCTCAAAATATCATCCTAAAGCTGGAGCTCCGATCACTTTGCCAAGCGGCTGCACACAACCTGCGCTTGATGAGCGTGCAGCAAAGTACCTTCATCTAATTTGGCTTGAATTGCTGCATACGAGTCCACAGGGCATTTGCTTAAGTCTTGCACGAATGTGCCTAGCTGAGGAGTGTGCCGGATTTTCAGTCCTCCTTTGGGTCGCTTGTCCATCGGTTGAAGCAAGTCTTGCACTTGTTCGTTGTATATCTCCAACATGCTTACTAGAACCTCAGCTTGGAGGCTAGGATCTGTATTCTGTTGTATGCGTTGGAATATTTCTTCACATGCTCGCACGATAATCCCCTTATTTGCGCCATACCCAACCATGGAATAGCTCTTTCCAGCTCCAGTTTGGCCGTAGGCGAAAAGGCATGCATTATACCCCTCGAAGGCGTTGTTCAACACATCTTTACCCACATCTTGATACACCTTATGCTGGTCTGCATACTTAGTGCTGCTTGGCCTACAATACCCTGTTTCGTCCACCTCAAACCCGTCATGTGACCAATATGAATAATCGAAGGCAAAAGTTCTGTTTGGATTTTTCGCGTCATCTTTGTTTTCTATAGTTGTGCTTTTCCCCTCCATAGAGATGCAAAGAATTGCATTCATGTTCTTCTCGCGGTCGTTGAAGGGACGAACCCGCACAGCGACCTTTACAGACGACATCTTCCCCGCAGTTTATTGGCAGCGGACAAAGCATAAATATCAATTTCTGCTAGCCTCCAGAGCAAAACGTATGCGTACACCTCTGTAGTTTTTCGGCCAGCTTGAGCGGCGATGTGCACGTGTCGCCTGGCTTATTACATAAGGCACACACGAATCAACTGTGGACTGGCATGAAAGCCCAATATCAGGGGCTGCATTGGCATTAACGGTTATTGGCAAATAATATGCAGAGCATGCCTTTTACAAAACCAAAAATGGGACAACGCCACACACGCTGGTGTGCACACCTCCCACTCAGGGGATATCGGGAAGCTGCGCAGGCGCGAGCAGCATTTACGAAGTCGCAAGCCAGAAGCAATTATTTATCCTGCACTGAAGCGCCATTTTACTCATATCTTTCCATAGTTTATGCCCAAATATGTTAGGGAAGCCGAGTCTACCAATATACGGAGCCCATAAATTCTCCGTTTCAGGAGACAGGCACTAGAGGCGGCGAGTCGCAGACCGCACCTAAATCACGTCTCGCACCCGTTGCGAGTCTTCTCCGATTTAGCAGTACGCTTAAAGCAATATAATGTATCAGCAATAATTAAGGGCAAAAAGTGTCTTACGGGGATGCACACTGCTATTTTTCTAGCAGGCAAGTCAGCGGGGACTGTTTGCCATGGGAGGTTGTTGGCACAAGTAGTGCAGCCTGAAAGTTCCACTACAGCTAATAAAAGAATCAGGCAAGTGAAAAATCGGTATGATTTTACTGGAACACCACGCAGGAGGCCAGGGGCACAGGTGCTTCGCAGAGACCCCCGGACCCAATATGCAGCACCGCAGTGTCCAGAGGCTTTGCAGCCGCCCCTAATTTCGACGTGTAGCAAAACTGGTAGATTTTAGAATGGGAATCTTGTGAGTTGCGATAGATTCAAAAGGGACGTGACAATAATTATCGAAAAGCTCCTCAAATATCCACGCAGTCTGCAAGCTTGCTCGGCACAGTTGCTCAGGCGCCCAGTATTGGAGGGGACAGGTAACGGCCTGTCATGGGTTGCAGTTCATCTTGCTGTACCCCCACTTACAAAAGAATCCGCGCTAACCAGCTCGAGATACGCCATGCAACACAACGGCAACGGCGGTTTGAAACTGCTTTACTGGATTTACCTAACTCCGCCTGTGCCTTACGCCAGCAGTCCCCTTAGGTAGCGTTCCTAACCTGGGGTCCTGGACTGGCACGGCCGCTCAGGGAAGGCGTTGCCAGCGGGAAGGCAGCTGTGACCACCTGAGGTTCCTTGTACTCAATGTGCTTGAGAACTGAAAACCGTGCGAGTTGCGCGTAACGTTCAACTTGCGGTCAAAGGCAGCTTCGTTGACCGATCTCTAGTTGTCGGGTGAGTAGGGGCATTTGCAGCAAGGTCTTACTGCGAGATGAAAATAGCAGGACTCCTCGCCGCTCCAGTCTCTAGATCTTCCTCCCCTGTCATGCATTCTCCTGCAGGCAGGAAGAGACCAGACTGTTCCGTCAAGCCTGCTCTCTTACTACCTTCACATACTGGAATTAATGAGGGTGCTGTACTGCGCGTGTACACTGCCCCTATAACTTCGCTTTGCATCTGTTGTAGAAAACCTTTCGGGGCTCCTCGACTTAAGATGTCATCTAACTTGTGCTACAAAATGATGATGAACTGTGTGCAATAAATGTCTTCTATTTTGAATCCCGCTCAAAGTGAGAGCGAATGTAAGCGACAATCCCCTAAATAGAACAAGCTGGGAAGGTCGGCGCCCTGGGGATCCCAAGCCCCTCACAGGCTGAGTATGATCCTCAACTGCGGCTGTACAAACGGTAGCTGGTACCTCTTTTGTGTCACAACAACGGGGCTTGGCCTCGCAACGACAGCTTAAGAATGGATCAGCTTCCCCCGATGAGTCCGCCTGTCCCCTCATCCCCTTTACACGTTGGGATGACAAGAGAGTCGAACACTGTGGTGAAGTGCGCGAAAAAGAATGCGGCCAATGAGCGAGCCCAAGCCCATATGCATTCTGTCTTATCTCTGCTGAGCCTGTCAGGTTATGAGTAATACTGTAGAAACCCTCCTAAATGAACCAGGCGTTTCATTAATCCTGACCTACGTCTGGTAAGCTTCACCTAGCTAGTCCCTGTCATCTTCCGCATCACTGCCACTAAGGCAATTTCTCGGCCTGCGCAACACGGGTAGCTCTTGCGGATCACCATCACGGGACAAAAGACCGGTGCCAACGAGGTCTCTGTGCTTTTACAGTCCGCAATCTGCCTCCCTATCTTGGCCGTGCGACCTTACGTCCATCGATGGACAAGATTAGCTATTTTATCCGCACGTGTTGCCAGCCCTTTCGGCTCAAACTCTGCCAACTGCCATCATCACCACGACAATGTTTATGCGAGCCTCGTTCTCGGCGCATTCTCATACCCCAGTTATCGCTAAGAAATTGCACTTCTCTGGCGTTGAATCCCATGGTCTCTTCCAGCGGAGATCTACTCTTAACCACCGCCTGGTACTTTGGACAACTGCCCGTTGGTTGGTCCATAGGCCCCGAGGCATTCTAAGAATGAACAGCAAGCTACCTGTTGGCCTCATAGCATAGCGCAGATTCTAGCTTTATCATTTCGGCCACCTGCTGGCTAATCACTCGGAGGGCTCCATGGCGTGGTTAAAGCAAGTGCATGTTGTTCTAGCTCCCTGCAGAGTGGATTCTGAGAGCACCGTAAATATTTAGCATCTCAATAAAGGCTAGCGTGCATATCAAAGGAAACTTATGCTTGCCTTCACTCGGCGGCGCACGCAAGCCAATGTTTTTGTTGCTTTCAAAGCACCTTGCAGTGATAGGAAGAAGACTGGGCAACTCGCGGCCGCTCTAGTCGCTCGTCAGCCGCAGGCCTTGGTACCACGTTGATAAGGACGCCTGCATACTAGAGGGGCGGTTGCAGACCATCCTGGCGTAATCAGCCCCGTCATACTGGAGAAGTAGAGCAGGGATTCTTCGCTCCTCCAGAGCCGTACTGCAGCCCTCATATGCGCCAGATAGCTCTACTTGCTAATGGCACGTCCTTGCTTCGAATTTTAGACACAAAGATGGTTATATCTCAGCACGGGTACCACTTTCTGGAAACAAACCGGTCCCTCAAAGGCCTCAGAGGCTAGCTCGGATGCGGGATTAGTCCCAGAATGCCAATGCGAGGAGCTGTGGCAAAATATTTAAAACGTCTTGCAAACTGGTCTAGTGTTCGTGCACATTGGGGCTGTGGATGCCGGCTCGTGCGAGAGAAGAGACACCAAGGGATAACGCACGGAGGGCAGAAAATCCGGCAGTCAGAGAACTGCCGGAATCCACTAAGAGGAGCATTTTCCTCTGTAACGAAGGGATTACGTCGTTCTAGAACTGGGGAATTGGATAACTTACATATTGGATGGAGGCTGCGTGAAAACCAATCCGCCCAACAGGAAAGCAAAGCAAGAGGAAATAGCCCTGAATCCCAGGAAATGTGCGGCACATTGAAACGCTGAAACAAAGTGACTAGCTCAATTGCAGGCCGGTCTCAACCCAGCTGTGCTCTTGTTTGTGTTTGCGGTTTACCGTTCTCAGTTCATCGTTGAGCTTCAAGTCAACTCTGTAATTTACATATAGGCTCGGAAGTTACTGGCGGCACTTATTGCAAGCTGCGAGGCCAATCTAAAATGTGGAGCTATGCTGCAGATGCGCAACGCACTTTTCCATTAAGTGGGGTTCCCTGACCGACGAGCCTTCGGCACTGGAAGACAGGAGTGGCAGGTCGGTAAACCAGTGGCCCAAAGGTGCGCACCTAATTCAGAAATGGATCTTAATACGAGGATACAGAGCTTCTCGCCTGGACTAGCTCATCACGACAATCCTAGAAATTTCTTGTGTGAGGCAGTGTAGGTTACGCAAGCGACCTCCCTACCGTACTGATTGGGCACTACCTTCCTTAAGGCTATAGCCGTGCTCCTCTCAGTGCTTCTATCTGCGCTTTCCAGAATAACTGAAGTGAAATGAGTGACCGAAGAAGCAAGAAGGGGGGACACTCCAGCCCGTTGCAGAGATGCAACCGAAAACGAGGAAAAAATCCATGAGCTTCGCGCTGAACTTAGTACGAGCATGGACCTGTGGGACTTTACCCGGTCCACACTCGCGGAACAGCAAACGTGGGACCACCTGGAGGCAATTGTCACCCAAGCGTTCAAAAACGAGAAGCTACCAGCAGGTCGTCCACCCGTTGGACATCAATCGAGCTTATCGAACTGATTCATATCACAGACGCAAGCCTTGTTCTCACGTACAGGAGATCCGTCGCGCTCCAAACCGCTGATAAGTAAGGGGAGGCAAAGTTTCAACGTCAACTAGCGCGATTGGACACAATCGGGTTGTTATGAAAAAACACACAAGGCGCACGATTCGCGATGAGCTCAAGCCCCTGATCAATATGATGATCAAGCAAATGTTTCCGATGCCCCGGTTTAAACAAGTCGTCAATAACCGTTTGATTTTACCTCCCTGAGATGTCTGGCATCTGCGGAAATTCCAAACTTGCAGTCTCAGAGATGAGTGCATCTCATGTGCGTGATATACCCAGTCGGCTGGCGAATGCATATTGAGAATTGCTCTTCAACGTGACAGGCGCTCACCGCGCTTCAGTGAATGCGGGTGGCATAGTATTGAAAATTGCTAATATGCTTGCGCCCAGCGGCACTGTGCAAAGGTACTGCGGGCATTTGCACCCTGCGCTTTGAGTGCTGCGCGAGGAAAAGTGTTTCGTATAGGCAGATAAAGGTTCGGCTTCGAAAG